GCCTTTTGACATACAATCTGTACAGCTTTGTCATTATGTATTTTCGTGTTTGGGGTGCCATTTTTTTTACTGTACATGTGGATAACTTCAGCAGTGTCTAAGTCTAGGGGTATCTAACTTCCTTTGAAATTCACCTACAAAAACAAAGAAAATAGCATTTTATAGGGTTTAAAATATCCCCCTAAAACTCTCGCACCTCCACTCTTGAGCCAGTCAACCGAAAGGTGCTGTTGGGCGTGGCACAGGCTAACAGACAGTGCTGAAATCAAAGGTGTCCCTATGGCCAGAGGCCACCAAAATTTTGTCTGGGACAATTCAATGTACACTTTCGGGAAATTTTGGGACAGTAGAAAAAATTTCAATTTTTTGTCGCCATGCCATTGTTACGATGTAGGTGCACAAATCAGCATTTAAACTGCTTTCGATAGGCAATTATGGATAGCATTACCAAAAACTTTGGCAAGAGGGGGTAAGAATTCGTTCTATGTAAAGGAAAAGGTTGACATGGGTAGCATTAGCAAAAGTTTGGCAAGAGGGGGTAAGAATTCGTTCTATGTAAAGGAAAAGGTTGACGTGGATAGCATTAGCAAAACTTTGGCAAGAGGGGCTAAGAATTTGTTCTATGTAAAAGAAAAAGATGACATGGATAGCATTTTTAGCAAAAACTTCAGTTAACATTGGTATCAATAAATTGAAGTAGAGTAGCACTTACTTGCTATAGTCAGTATTAAAGACCACATGACACCAAAATATAACCTTATCTAATTCTGTATCTGTATTTGTTTAGATGGTATAGCTGCCTCTCGGCGTAACACACCAGCTTCGCAGGCATGCGGCGCGGCGGCAGCTGGCTACATTACGCCAAACGACTTGTTACACCTATTTTATTACTATTGTTCATAACAATAAAATGGCTATAGTTATACGTAGTGGTCATGAGGGTTATGTATCGTTATGAATAATAGCCAAAAGTCATATATATGGCATAATGGTAAAAATTAATATGCATAATTATATATAATAACCAAATAGATATACATAGTTATATATAATGGTTAAAAGGGATATGCATAATTATGTATAATGGTTAAAAGGATATACATAATTATGTATAATGATCAAAAGGAATATACATAATTATGTATAATGATCAAAAGGGATATACATAATTATGTATAATGATCAAGAGGGATATACATAATTATGTATAATGATCAAAAGGGATATACATAATTATCTATAATGGAAAAACTAATATGTATAATCATACATGATTATAGATAAATATAGTATAATCATGTATAATTATGTATAATTGGACTATACCCTAGGGACTAATTAACACATTCCAAATATTTGTCACCTTCTACTATGTACTCAGAAAAAATATAAACCTAATTGGGTAAAGCAATTTAGAGTTATTAGCGAGGAGTCCATAATTAAAGTGTTTTTCCATAATTAAAGTGCTGCTTGTTTTAAGCATTAACCAACAGTAATCTAGGAGTGCCACTGTGCATTCATTTTGTACCAGTACAATTGTAACTAAGGCCACATCAATTTAATTTGCTGTGGCCTAAGGTCAAAATAGCATTAGTAGAATGTACTACGCCTGTGTGAAACCTGTAAAGTACATATTGTGCATACATGAAGAACTTCAGTAGAACATTCTCACTTGATGTTGTATTTGTGTAT